CCCTCAGCATTTGCATGTCGCAGAAAGCATACGACATGGCGAAGTCGATCGGATGAAACCGAGGGCGGGGCACAGAGAATAAGCAAGAAGGGCAAGCCATGATGTGCACACCAGAAGACGAACCGAAGGAATGACTGATGGGCGCGAGAGCCCTTCTTGTATACGTGCGTTCCGCCGCTCGAGGCGCCACCTATCGGGCGGTGTCGGAAATAATAATATTGAACGTGTCTCAACGTGTGTTGGACATCCGCGTGCCTGCCGCGCCGAGCGCCTGCCGCGCCGCAACCCGCCCACACAGCTGCTGACTGGGTTGCCTACCTGCCAGTGGCCCTCGAGCGCGTAGCGTCCGCTAGGCTCGCCTCAGCTCACTCACGGCGTGCCGTGAGTGCGCCCATAGGCTCTAGACCCAGGGTGAGAACCTCGTGGTCTTCACCCTGGTGACGCACATGAAGGCCCTGGCGGTGGAGGGATCGTAGCCATGCCTTGGCTGTGTGCACGGCGAGGAGGGAGGGGAGCGCGGTCCCCCCAACCCAAGCCAGCCGGCAACAGAGCTTCGACTCTGGTCGGCCCGCTGCGCGGCGGGCAGTCGGGGGCAGTCGCGGGGGTGAGGCGGGGAAGGGGAAGGGTTCTCGTGGGGCGCGCGGGGTTGGAGGGGGGCAGCGCGGCTCGGCTGGCGGGCCAGACAGCCGGCGCGTCTCGTCATTGTTCTTCTGAGTCTGCTATCGTGCGGACGCCAGAGAGCTTGTGATCTTCTGTGTGTTTGCCGCTGCCGCTCGCCATGGATTTGATCAGAGAGTACGCCAGCGAGTCGTCGAGCAGCGACAGCGAGTCTTCGACCAGCTCTTCGTCGACCAGCTCCTCGTCGAGCACGTCATCCATCATGCTCCACCTGCTCGAATTCAAGCTCCAGCACAACGTCAAGCGTGACATCGAGCTCCCCTGTGGGGAGAAGCTTCAGCGGGGATACGATCTGCCTCGTCCACAGTTCGTTAGTGCGCGAAATCGACGCCATGGACGTAAGTACCTCAAATGCTTGTGTGAGGACACTGTTTTGCGCATGAATTTGAATAAAAACCAATGTCCTCAAAAACAGTTCTATGTCGAGACAATGTTCAAAATGCGATGTAAGCCACGGTAATGCGTTACCGTGTGGCTCTCTCTAAGATCTCTCTCCGCGAAAAGAACACGAAATGACATAGAGCTGTTTTATTTCAGTCGATCATCAACCGCGTAGCCGCCCAATGCGGCACGACTCGCGACATTTTGCTGCCCAATGCAGCCGGTTTGTATTTTAAAGGGTGAGTCCAATGTGTGCTTAAGCGAGAAATCGCTCTGTCCTTCCCTGTTTTTTAAAGTGCACTCGGCATGATTTGCCTTGCTGCAGCTGTAAATATCACGCTTGCATGCTTTTGAGGTTAATGCGTGTTGAATCCTGTCTGACGCGTCGGCCGCACCGCGAGACGCGGCCGGGGCCGAGGGCGCGGGGAGAGGAGGGAGAGGGAGGGGTCGTCGCCAGTCGTCGCCAGGCGCGGCCTTAGACAGGCGAGGGGACGGGTGGAGGGGGAAGGCTGTTTGCCGCGCGCTGTGCTGTTGCTGTTGCTACGCCGGGGGACCGTCCGTCAACAGGGGTCGAGTGTAAATTTGTGGCTATGCGTGCGCGCGGTGTGTGCGCGCGTGTGTGTGTGTGTGTGTGTATGGGTGTGTGTGTGTGTGTGTGTGTGCGCACGCAGGGCTTGAGGGAAACAGTAAAACTTCCACGCGACGGTAGCCCGCTAGGCCTCCAGCCCTTAGCCCAGGACGGGGAAGCTGAAGTCCGCATGCCGCCAGCTCCTGGCCCAACTCTGAGATCCAGAACCCCGTCAGGGGCAGGAATAGGAGCCTAGGGGAGGGGGAGGGTAGGGGTCAAGACAGCCGCATGGGCGCACGGGGCTTTAGCTCAAGGGCGATGGGGTAGGCAGACGCAAAGTTTGTGCAACTGTGATTAATATGTGTTTGTGACCAATCTTTTCCAGCCGATCAGCGGTGACGTTCCACAGGCGGAGGGAGCATCAGGGGTGCCCCATGAACAGCTGCTGGTGCGCGATGTCTCCTTCGGGACGGAGGCATGCGATGGAGTAAGTGTACACTAAGTAAGAAACCGTACAGGGTTTATCTAACCACTGTGTTTCCTCTAACGCGTGCTTATCTTTTCAGTTCGAAGTTGAGGAGCACCCGCTGGAGCTCCCGCTGGACATGCCAACGCTCAACGTCTTTGGACGCCTGGGCGTGGTAGTTGAGGGGGACCCCCAATTGTTGTTGAGGAGGAGGTGGAAGGATGGCCTGCGGTAGCAGAACCCGCACAACAACCCGCACCACAACCCGCCGCTGACCCACCAGCAGACGTAGAGGCTGCAGCTGAGCCCCTCCCCATACAGTGAGTGAATCTCCCCCCCCCCCTTTCCCCTGTCCATTTCACTGATACAAGGTAGATGTACGCCAGACCACGTCTCGCGTAACAGGCTTCGCGATATCTCACGAAACACTGTTACGCTACGACGCGCCTGGCATACATCTACCTTGGCCTGCGGCGCTGACACCCGAGTCGGGTAGAGCAAAAATGTACTCAAAGATTCG